GAGAGAGAGAGAGAGAGAGAGAGAGAGAGAGAGAGAGAGAGATTCAAAATGTGAGCAGGGTTTAATGGGGGGCAAGCGTCTCTGTTGAAGACTTTGAAGCTGTAAGGGGTTCCATGGGAAAGAATGCGGATGGCCCCTGGGAGGTGGGATTGCCTGGTATAGTGTCTCTCCACCCAGTAGCACAAGAGCCCTGCAGCTGTTCTCTTGGGAGCAAATTCTGATTAGCCCAGCTCTAATGGTGTCACTGCCCTACTCAACCACCTTCCAAGGATTCCATTAGCTTGGCATTCAAAACTCTCCGGGATTTAACTCAAACCGGCCTTTCTCACAATTTCCATCATTCTCAAATGTGTACCTTATCTGCCTACTGAGTGGTTTTTGGATTGATCTTTAAAAATGCTTCTTTCAAACTGTTATTGCTTTTGCAGGTCCCTGTCCTACCTGAGAATCTTCCTTGCAACTCGCAGCTTTCCACGTGCACCCTGCCGTTACCTTTCCTTCCGACCTTCTGTCCTTCCAAGGCCCTGCAGCTGGATAATCTCATACCTTGGACTCTTCTAAACTAGCTGCTTGGATTGTTGAATTGCCAAGGGGAAATGTGGTTCCAGAGACAAATTGTGAGTTCCCAGAGCAATTGTAAAACGTCCATTTTATCTGCCTGAAGCTCTCGTTTCAACCACCACCCCAACAGCATTTCATTCAGCCCCAGGCTTAAATGTTGGGATTGATTTGTGCACCCTCATCCCAAAGAAAAGGGACCCTGAGTCCATTTTCATAGTCAAGACCCATTTAGTTCTTTATTTTCACTTTGCCCCGCTTGTAACCATTACTTCAGTGTCCTGTGTCTGCAGGATTATGACCCTAATATTCATGCCTGTTGAGGACAAGGTTTCCTCTGCCAACTCTTTCCTCCACTCTTCTCCTTCACCTTCTCTCTTGTTTCCTCCAACCTAGACAGTAGTTGGCACTTTAATAAATTATTCCTTCTCAAAACAAAAGAAGCCAAGGGTGAAGGCATATTCCTGTCATCACAGACATTGGCAGAGAGAGGTGACTTCAAGGGTCAGCCTCTGGGATTCACAGTGAGTTTGAATCAACCAGTGT